TATTTTTTTTTTTTGGTCAACTGTGTTAGCCCTTGAGTGAAGAGAAGCTACCCTTCCTGAAATGTGCTATTCTTGCTTCCATAGCAGCAGACAGCCTCAGACTTTGTGGCAGGGGAAGTTCTAATCGTAGACAAACTGCAATAATTGTACCTATTTAGTATCAGATGGAGAAATTCTGACACATTTTGTTTTGTGGGAAATATTGTGCCAATCATAATTACCATTGGGACAATACATCCCATTAGTGATACAAGTATTATAAGACAAAATTTTAGGTTTTGTTTTGATTATTTCAAAACAGCAACTTCTCATTTCTACAACATCTGGTAAGACTGGTAACTATTCTAACTTCTGGTAAGAATAAATAATTTTATGCAGTTATATTATTTTTATTTTTCATTCCCATACAATATAGGTATTTTTACAATATTCAAGACAATTGAAATATATTGTCGCAGGAGATTTCCAGGAAAACTCTAGACTCACAGTACACTTATAAAATATTATATTTTATATCTATTATGTATCATAAGAGTAAAAGAGAATGAAACAAAATATTCTTACGGTATTTTTACAAAAGTTCAGTTTCACTTCCTGCCAAGTGAATTTTTCTTTACGAAAAGAATTAATCCTTAAAATTTTACTCACCCTACTGCACTGAGGAGTTGAAAAATAAAACGCAAGGAAAAAAATATAGTTTTAAACATAATGGAAAAAAAATAATGTTTCTTTTTTTTAATAAACTAGCCTGTAGTTTTAGGTTTTAAAAATCATTAGGTTTAAATCCACTCAACCAATTAAACAATACCATATTTATAAGAAATGGATGCATTGCGTTTGCAGGTAATGAGACAAGAAACAAAACTATCAACTATGATGTTAAATTAGAGTACGTTTACAAATAATTCATAAAAACCTTAATAGGGACACAGATTGATTGAATACAGTCACATCTGAAATTTTTCATGAGAAAAAAAACCATCTGCATACAAGAAAAAATACAAAGGAGCATTATTCCACAGCAGTACCTATTCATACCAACTATAATTATCCAGGTGCCAAGACAAACTCTACATTAAATAACTCTAGACTACTCTACATTGTATTTAAATTAAGTTCATACAAAAGGGAAAAAATATATATAGCCATCCATCCGGGGAAAATTACGATTGTGCCCTTCAAATTTGTTCCTTTCTGAAATATTTTTATGGTTTCTAGAGTGCTATTGCTTGTGACCATTGGGATCGAAGTTTGTGGCCATCTTGACAGAAGTACGGAAGGAAATCTTCGTAATACAAGAAACAATAGATCGTTAGCAAAATACTTTTCATTTATCCACTCAAATTCAAATACATTTATTTTAAACTTGTAGAGAATGACAGTTGATGTTAATACAGTTTTTTTTTTCAAATATTAATTAATTCATTAAATAGGGATGAGCAAAAAACGAAATGGATATTTCTGATGGGTTAAGCGTTAATCATTGTTTTAAATTTTACAATAAGCAATTCAGTTTTTCGCATATTTTAATAATAACATCAGTAATAATTTGTAACTTATAGCTCTACCATTGATAAACACAAAATTTAGCTTAAATAATACAATTAGCTTAAACAATTTAACTTTAATAATACTAGTAATTTCCATTCTATTTAATGGATCTTTTTTTAAAATAAGCGAAAATTTAAATTGAATTAAACTTATTAAAATTAAACCTAACCAATATCTTAAAAATTTAAAACTGCAAATAACACGCTAATTTTTAACAATCAAATACTGTTAAGTATGACTACTCAAAAACTACTCTTTAATATATGTTGATTTTAAATCTCTATATAAAACAGAAATAAATAAATTGTTTCTTACTTAAGTATTTTTGAAAAAATTGTTAGTTTTCTGATACTATATTATATTTAAATTCTATTGTATTAAACAAATTATATTACTATTTAATTAATTCTGTTCTACAACAGTTAATTCCTGGAATATTAAATTTAAGCTTGAAATATATCTACGATACTTATTGCACAACAATTCTATTAGTTTTTTTTTTTTCCATTTCATCCAGTTACTTACAATCCTGGAAGAAGCAACCAATAAGATTTGTTTTCTTCTGAACTTATAACTCCATTTAAATCTCCCCATAGTATTAAAATAATTACATATTTTATTTTACAACATAACATTTAAAGTATATTTAAACAAATATCAAGTGTTAATAGAGTGCAAAATAACTATTAAAAAAGAGCTATGTCATGTATACACATGTTTGCACATAAGCATCTCAAGACAATAAAATAGGGGTAATAATGTTTAAGAACATATTATTCACAAACATACACTAACATAATGCGGCTAATCAGTAATATGTAATAGAAAAAAAATTAATGAAAACTAAACTTTCTAAATTGCTTAATATCACATTCTGAACGTTTAGATGAAATTTCAATTTCTAAGCCCATGATTGAAATCCAACTGTATGTATTAAAAACAAATTACCTCTAATAACAAAATCTAACACCTCTGAAAGCGAAGCATTTTTAGTCTTTGAATAAAAATCAATTTTATCAAATTATTGTTTATATATTTTGTGGAGTTAACTTGTTAATGTATAAAAAATTAAAAATAAATGCAGCATATTTTTAAAAGTAAAAATTTTAATATATTCCACATAAATTTATTCAATATTATGTAACTGAAGAGTTTCATTATATAAAAATAAACTAAATAAATAAAGACTATATTTTTTGTTGATTAAATACATTATCATTAAGTCAAAAAAAAACTAACTTCAAAACGTGTTTAAATAATTTACATAGCTTCCAGCATGGATAGGAAAAAATCCAGTAGATTTTACGAAATAATATAAATTTCATGATAATTGTCTCAAAGTGTACTAAATATTTTACGCATAAGAAATTTTAGGGATTTTATAGTCATCAAAATAGAAAAACTGCCATATTTTCCAGTTATGATTAAAATTAAATGAACTTGAAATTATATGTATGATGTTAACTCATAATTTTGAATAGTAAATAGGCATTTAATTCATCAAAGATAGTTAATAGATTATTTAATTAACTTAAAAAGCAAATTCGGAATGAAAATAAACTTAATATTTAAGAACAAAAAAAAATTTTAAACTAATATTCATAAATGAGGCTCGCTTCATTATGTATTAGTAACACTTATTTAAATATTCAAGCAAGCAATAATCTGCATAAAATTTTTATTTCAGGTGAGATTTTTTAAGGAAATTTACCCAATTTTTGGAAATTTTCTAAAATATACAAAAATCAGGATTTTTATGAAATCAGTTGACCAGGAGAAACTGACAAAATCCAGTAGTCTACCGGGAAAAAAAGTAGAGTTCGTAGTTATCAATCTAATGTTTTAAGAAGCATATCCTAAATTTAAATAAATAAATGAATAAAAAAAGTGGAAATAATGCTTATTGATAAGAACTATTTAATATAATTACATTGCTGATAAGGAAAAAAAATAATAGCATCAATGAATTAAGTTTTCGTAATGCCATATAATAGATTGAGAAAGATTTGCGTTAAAATGAGGGATCATTATTAATTGCAAAAACTCCATGGAACTTATAACTCCATTTAAATCTCCCCATAATATTAAAATAATTACATATTTTATTTTACAACATAACATTTAAAGTATATTTAAACAAATATCAAGTGCTAATAGAGTGCAAAACAACTATTAAAAAAGAGCTATGTCATGTATACACATGTTTGCACATAAGCATCTCAAGACAATAAAATAAGGGCAATAATGTTTAAGAACATATTATTCACATACATACACTAACATAATGCGGCTAATCAGTAATATGTAATAGAAAAAAAAATTTATGTAAACTAAACTTTCTAAATTGCTTAATGCCACATTCTGAACGTTTAGATGAAATTTCAATTTCTAAGCCCATGATTGAAATCCAACTGTATGTATTGAAAACAAATTACTTCTAATAATAAAATCTAACACCTCTGAAAGCGAAGCATTTTTAGTCTTTGAATAAAAATTAATTTTATCAAATTATTGTTTATATATTTTGTGGAGTTAATTTTATTGGAGTTAACTTGTTAATGCATAAAAAATTAAAAATAAATGTTGCATATTTTTAAAAGTAAAAATTTTAATATATTCCACATAAATTTATTCAATATTATGTAACTGAAGAGTTTCATTATATAAAAATAAAATAAATAAATAAAGACTTTATTTTTTGTTGATTAAATACATTATCATTAAGTCAAAAAAAAAAAAATTTTAAAAAGTATTTAAATAATTTACATAGCTGCCAACATGGATAGGAAAAACTCCAGTAGATTTCACGAAATAATATAAATTTCATGATAATTGTCGCAAAGTGTACTAAATATTTTACGCATAGGAAATTTTAGGGATTTTATAGTCATCAAAATAGAAAAACTGCCATATTTTCTAGTTATGATTAAAATTAAATGAACTTGAAATTATATGTATAATGTTAACTCATAATTTTGAACAGTAAAGAGGCATTTAATTCATCAAAGATAGTTAAAAGATTATTTAATTAATTTAAAAAGCAAATTTGGAATGAAAATAAACTTAATATTTTAGAACAAAAAAAATTTTTAACTAATATTTATAAATGAGGCTCGCTTCATTATGTATTAGTAACACTTATTTAAATATTCAAGCAAGCAATAATCTGCATAAACTTTTTATTTCAGGTAGGATTTTTTAAGGAAATTTACCCAATTTTAGAGAATTTTCTAAAATATACAAAAATCAGGATTTTTATGAAACCAGTTGACCAGGAGAAACTGAGAAAATCCAGTAGTCTGCCGGAAAAACCAGTAGAGTTCGTAGTTATCAATCTAATGTTTTAAGAAGCATATCTTAAATTTAAATAAATAAATGAATTAAAAAAAGTGGAAATAATGCTTATTAATAAGAACTATTTCATATAATTACATTGCCGATAAGGAAAAAAAATAATAGCATCAATGAATTAAGTTTTCGTAATGCCATATAATGGATTGAAAAAGATTTGCGTTAAAATGAGTTATCATTATTAATTGCAAAAACTCCATGGACATTCATAGCTGATTGTGAATTTCCTAGAAAACTCTAGGTTTTCCTTTTGAACACCCAGAACTAAGTTATTTTTTTTCACGTGTCTTGATGTTTTGCTTAAACTTAAAGAAATGTGGCAGATAAGTTAAAATGAAATAAAACTTACTTTCCAAACATAAGCTTTATTGCTGCTGGAACCACAAGCCAGGTATTGATCATCAGCACTTAATGCTAACTTTATGTAATAGGTATTACATTTGAATCCATCATAAACAGTTTCTGTTAAAATACAAATGAAATTAGCTATATTTACTAACTAAAAAATTTTTTAAGAAAGGAGTTGTTAAAACTCCAGTAAAAAATTACATTTACTGAAAGAATAAGTTTACATTTGGTTATTGTACAGTGAGCAGTAGAGTTTTACGTGTTTGCAATCAGATACAATTAAATTTTAGAGAACATAGTACTTCGGGAGAAATCCTTCATAAGTAACTCTTTACAGAAATTATTTAAAATTTTGTATAGAAAAATAGTGTTCGTGTGAACTTAGAATAAACCATAAAGTTTCAAAAGCTGGAAAAAAAATTTCAAAGCATCAAAATGTAAACAAATTACAACAGGATTATTTAGGATTTATTATTTACAGGGCTGGAAATCCAAAATATAAAAATTATGGGAAATTTATGAATGCTGATTCTCTAATGGAAGTAATTTCTAATACCAACAAGGATTCTAAGATATACAATTGATTATTCAGAGTGCATAGCCAAATTTCAATGTGCGAAGGTAATTGGCCAAAATCAGGCGCAAACCATATCTCCCCCCTTTTACTTACAGAGGCAATATTCGATTGCAAAATATTAAGAGACTGAAAGGAACACAGGCCCGTAGTATAAATAAAACTTACAAAAAAATATTTTTTTCTTAAAATATAAAAAAATGCTTATATTTGTTGTTGTTGTCCATTTACGTCGCACCCCCAGTTAGAAACCCCTGATATATATATAATCAACTTAAAGGAAAAATGTTGTATCTACTATATTGTCTTACTATAGATAAGAATCTAATGGTTTTCAATTGACCGCGTAATTTTATTGGCAGAAAAATCACGTGGTAGGATCCACACACAGTTTTTCCTCATCATTTCCATATTATTTTGGTAGTCATCAGTATAAAATTAATTAAAGTTATAAAGGTTTGTTTTTCTATAAATAATTTTTTAACCCTTATCTAAAGTTATTTTCCAAGTACTATTATTATTACGCTTTTAACTCAAGAGTTTTAAACTAAGAGAATTTTTTTTATTATTATTATAATGTAAGTCTGCATTAAAATTTTAAGATAAAATTATCTAGAAAAGTGGTCTAATCTTATTAACTGTTTTGCAATTATTATTTTTGTACAAATAACATTATTATACTGTCTTAAATTACATTAAAGTGATCTGTTAAATAATTTATCAGCTCCGTGTACAATGAGATGCAAGCAAAAATAGTATTAAATATATCTGCCCGGTGAATTGTGAATTCACATAATAATTGTGAACTTACATAATATTGTAAATGTTATTTTAAATAATGATTACTTAGAAAAAATTACTTCTGTTTACCAATAGATCTAAATATTTATAATACTAATATTTGGATGTAGGAAGTGGTGGTTCAAGCAATCAGAATTCCTTTTAGTACATAGATGTTGTTCTGGCCGACAGCATATCTATCATAATCTCGAAACCAGCGATTTCCATCTTGGGTGTCTCTCTTTCTGATCTTAATTGGCTTTAGCCATCAACCTTTTTACTTTGTACATTTTAAACATTTTAGCAACTGCTTTTACAATTACCATACTTCTTGCTTCCCTTTTGAGATTTAACTTTATTATTCACTGTTTGAAAATCAAGCCAAGAAAAAAAAAATGTGCGAGCCATGTCAAAAAAATAAACAATGAAAAAATACAAAGTATACTTGTGCTACCTGAGAAATGTTTTAGTCATGAAACAACAATTTGTAAAGACCTGTAGCAAAAATTCTTGTTCGCATGAAGGTAGTTCTGCATCAGACAGCCTCTCCAAGATAATATTTTTATACTAACATGTGATATTGAAATAAGTTGCTCTGATATACAAAACTCTCAATGTTTTTTTTTTACAATTTTACTCTTCTTTGTTTTTCTTTATGTTGTGCAATTATTTGTGATACAGTTTTTTAATATACTTTACTAATTAAATAAGTTTTTTGATACTTTATCTATCTAAAGAATCTTAACTAGGTAACAATTAACTATTTAAACTAGAATAAATGTCACTTGACTTTAAAAAAATCAAAAACACCTTATAGGTGCAACGCGACAACCCATGTCGAAAACAAGTCCGCGTCTAACAGAAGGTTAATTTGATTGTTCATGTTTCTTTGTATTCTAGAATTACATTTTTTAAAAATTCAAAAACATATAATTGGTATCAAGTAATAACAAATGTAATGGACAAAAAGTAACAAACTTGTTCATGCTGCATCCCAAATAATGGAAAACCCTGAAAAATGAAAATATTTTTAGTTATAATAAAAGAAGTTCGAGATATAAATTTTAAAGTAATTAATTGATTATAAACGATCTTTTTAGATCGAAAAATCGATCTTTCTTTATCGATCAAAATGAGGACAAGTTTTTGTTTTATTAAAAAAGTTTATTATTATTTTTAATATTGCATTATTTATTCTTATATAATGCAGTGCAAAAACAAAATTTATCAGTATTAAAATATAATTTATCAAAAAATTTTTTAGCAAAGAAAAAAATAGATGAATTAAATCTTATTTTGGTATATTTTAGTATATTTAATTATAAATGCAGAGATGCCAAAAATTTTTTTACAATTAAGTTATGCAACACAGTTCAGAAAGCAAACAAAATTAGTCAGATATTTGCAAATTTTAGTATGTAGTTGTATACAGTTTTTTTTTTATTAAAATTCACAAATATAAAAATCGATATTATTCATTTTGTACTATTACAATGGCAAAACTTAATTTTGTCCATAATAAAGTGTATTTCCAATAATAATAAAAACAAGATTGCACAAATATTTGAAAAATTTAATACAGTAAATGTAATACTAAGAATAATAAAATATTAGAAAATATACTTGCTTTCTTAAAATATTTTGTTTTAATAAAAATGTAATAACGAAGCGACCAAGTAAAGAAAATATTAACTGGTTTCTAATAAAATTGTAAACTAAACTTAAAACATAAAGAAATTCAGTATCAATGAAATTAAAAACTTACCTAATTCATGAAACCAAGCAGTACATCTTTTTGTTGAGAAGAATGAACATAAAAACTACTTTACGCTTTGGTGTTAAGCGCTTCCTGATAGACACAAGAGCTCTTACAACTCTAAGAATGAATCTTGGCTCTTTTGAGTTTACAGACTTTTCTATGAAACCTAGGTGCTTCTTTATATCTAAAACAAAGGGAGATATTTATTTAAAAATTAATTATCAAACTTTTGACCTGCTCTAAATTTTTGAAATCGTATAGGTATATAAGAATAATGCATTTATATGTATGTCTATTAAACTTCTATATCAATTTATTATTGTTTATTGTAAAAAAAATATTAAATTTTTAAAATACTTGTTTTAACTTACATTACATTAATCACATGTAGACATTATATAGAAATACATTTAACTTTATAAACAAATATTGCATAGAAAGACATCATAAATAAATGTTGCAGCTGAATTAATCACTTATTAAGAATAGATTCTAATCTTATCCATTGAACATTCAATTGATTTTGATATTTAATGAACTAACAATAAATATTTTATTATGTATTTTGTAAATTTGAATAACAAAATTTGTTAAATTAAGTATACAATGAAACCTGAGAAGTTAAAAATGTTGAAGGAAAAAGAGAAAATATTAAGTGGTAATTATTATGACGTATCAAAATATAGTGCAATAAAAATATTAACTGAGAAAGAAAAAATCCAGTTTATTTCAAAAATTGAAATTTTAAATGTTTTAAGACATACTAAATATTTTACATAATAGGGAATTTTAAGGATTTTTATTGTCATCAAAATAAAATTAATGCAAAATTAATTCAAAATAAATGCACAATTTAAAAAGTTTTAGTTACATCAAAGTAATTGTGCGATAGTATAACTTATTGAGAAGATACAAACATTTGTTAACTGCACTTTTTAATTATGATTTATCACTTAAAACCCTGTTTTAAAAATTTTACATTTTTCAGCATATTTTACTGAAAAAACCTGAAATATAACATCCTTACTAACATGTAATTACTACTCAAGATTTTAAATTTGTTAAGTCTTTAAAAAAAACCTTTATAGTTCTGCAACAAGAATGTAGAAATTAAACTGTGAAAGTTAACTGTGAAAATTAAGCTTAATTTGGCCTTAAATGAAAAAAAACCAAACCAAATTTGAGCCATGTCTGATGGTCGATTTCTTTACAATTTTATATATTATGATAGATGAGTATATAAAGGAACAAACACTCAGAGTAAGAAAAACATCTACTTTAAATACTTATCTAATGAAACTAAAAAATTCAGCAGAACAAAATTGAGAAATTGAAATTGAGACAAAAAATACACTAATACTCTTTCCTCGCAGCACGCTAATAAATAAATATTGTTTAGAACAATAAAACAAGCAAAAGGCAAATTAATAGAAATATATTAAATGATTTACTTAGAAGGTAATCTATACATATATCCTTTTCCACTATCACTAAAAATTAAAGCTCTGTCAGTAGTTAAGAAATCACCACCCATCCAACGTTCATCTCGAGGATTATCAGCAGAGCACAACAGTGAAAAATCCCCAGCATCATAAACCTTGGAAAACAAATATTATTTGTGATTTAATATTTTAAATCTACACAACAAAAACATTTGGCAATAAATAACTATTACATTTTATCAAAATGTATTGCCATTAATTATTCACAGCCAAAAATATAATTGACATATGATTCAGTGGCTTTAAATAATTACATCAATAGAAAAGAAACAAATCTGATGATTGCTCTCTAACATAATGTTTAAATAAATACTACCTAAATGTATGATAGTCATCCAGAGAGTAAATTTCTCAAGGCATATAAAAAATTATAACAATACTGTATATCCTAGCGTATAAGCAGGCTATTTAAACTCAAAAAGTTTACAAAAATCTAGGAGTTGACTAATACACCAGTAATAAAGTTGGACATTTGTTGATCGTGAAATAGTGATGCATCATTATAAACAATGAGATGAATATGAATAACTCCGTATCAATTCAACCCTTTCAAAAGCTATTAATATGTTATAATAAATGAATTTTGTATTTTTTTTTCATCATATTTTCTTAAAATATTAAGGTTTTATTAGAAACAATACTTTAAATTACGTTCAGAAAAAATTACGAACAAGAAAGATTATTTTAATAAAAAATATTTCAAAATATTTAACACAATGAAAATTCTTAAAACATATCATAAAGCTACAAATTTAAATATTTCAGAACATCAAGAGTCGGATTCAGTAATGTTAACAGTATCATTATACGGATCTCCCTCAGTGATGGATTCTACTTCATCTGCTACGTCCATCCAAATAATTAGAATTTATGCACCGTTTAAAAAATTTTACAATAACATTTGAATTTCCATTTTGCTCAACACATAGAAAATTTGACACATCATGTCTATAGGAACAGTACGAATATTTCCTGTTTCTGAAAGGGTTTATTTTCTTTACATTAATCATTTATTTCAAGTTGATCGAATAATACCCTTGAAAGGTTTACTTAACCTTATATAACTAAACATTTGTCTAATAGACTATCAACTCATGCCAATTTTGAGAATTCCTGTTGATATTGTGATTACCCTAGTTTACTCACAGTACCTTCATAATTAGTAAAATTAGTAAACCAAAGGTGATAAAAAGAGCTGTACATTTGCTACTTTTTGAAATTTACAATAATCATGGTCTAACAGTCAAATGTTTAGTCCATCAAAATCAACATTAAAGATATTTTGAATACTGAAAAGTCCACAGATTACACAACTAAAAGTGCTGCAAACAAGCACAGAATTTTTCTTTCCATCTAAGAAATACAGAATGGCAAAATATGTAACATATGGACAGGAAAGGCATTCTGTTCGTTGACTTCTTGTTGGGGGTGCTGTGGTGGATGCTGAAAGTTATAGAGCAACCCTAGAAAACTTATGAGAAGCAATTCAGAATCAGAAGCATGGTATGCTTACTGCTGTTATTGTCCTGCTCTAGCTCTATGAAATCACTCACTCACATATAATGAATTCCAGAAAAAATCTGTCATGAGGTGACTCCATTTCCAGCTAGCACACTTCGATCACACTGGACTACAAAAAGTTACCTACCATTCCTATTAAATGTTACAATTTTAGTGATATTTAAGTTGAGAAGTAACTGAAATATTGGTATATATTTTGCAATATATCTTTTCAGGTAATAAAATTTGTCTCCTTTAATGTGCTGTGGGTGACTTGATTTCTAGATAACCTTTGCATCCTGATCCTATTAGAATCATTTAAAGACTTTGCATATTACACTATTTCATTATTCGCAGATATATACTTATAATGTATACATGTAATGCATGCATATATTATTTTTCTCACTATGGCAAAACATTTGACAAATTGCTTTTGAATTTCACTGCATCTCTTTTACATACATTGATGAACTGGAAGCAAATATTTTATGGCATTCAACACCAAAATAAATTATTATTTAAGGTATGAAAAAATTTTAAATTCATAACATTATATGTGTTAGAGCTGATTATTTATAATTGGGTTGTGACGTGTGAGTGACTGATGTCGTATTTTTGACCACAGATAGCTCAGGTGAAAAAAAAGTAATGCACAATATGCCCTAAATATGCTTGGTTCAAATAAGCAGGCTTGCTGGATTAGCAAGTGGCATTAGAAACAACACAACAGAGCTGATTATAGTTATATTTACCTGCAAATATTTGGGACAAACAATAAGAAGTGAGCTCGCCGCACTTTACTATACTCAATAAGAAGTGTCCTTTGATTAAAAGCACAACAGGTCAATTTCAGGGCATTCAGGAATCGAATTGGTTTTGACTCATCTTCATAAACAGGTTCATTCTATTAAAATAGAATATGTTTTTAAAAAAAACACTTAAATTTAGACAAAAATTCAAACAATATTTTATATAAATTGCAAAATAAATTAAAGCACTACAAATTATTAATTAGTATAATTCTTCAATTTCGTATAATACCTCATCCTTATAACTTGGATATATTTAGTATTGTTTGTGTATTAAACATAAAATTAATTAGTATTGTTTGTGTATTAAACATAATAATAATTATTGCTGACCTCGCTCTAAAAGGTGAATAAAAATATAAGTAGCTATTAACGAAATATAAGTAGCAATATAAAGTTCCCAATATAAATTAAACAAAATATAAATTAAATAAGATATAAATTAAATAAAATAGAAAATAAATTAAATATTTTTATACGTTCATCTAATTTATATTTGATGTACTCCAACTAATCTATTAATAACAGCAAAAAATCTATAGTTGACAACAAGCCAGTTAAGGTAAGTCACAATTGTAAGTCCAACCCCAATTTTCAATAAGAGATTGATCAAAGGTGCAAATTAATCATGAACAACATTATAATATTATTGTACTATGTTTCAACAATGCTGTTTACTCAAAGTTATTTAATTGATTTAAAATTTAGACTTCTACATGAAATAATAATTACCTAAATTTAAGTTCAATAAACCATGAAATTTAATTTTTCTCATTCCAATTATTTTTTTAGAGTAACTACAAGTGCTTTAAGTAATAAAAGTCTACAAATTAAACATATAACAAAATATTAATATTTATTTATATTTCTAATAAGACATTTATTTATATTATTATATAAGTTGTAAAGAAAAAGAAATACCAGGCAACAACAAAAGTCAATTTTAAATCAATAAGGGCATAAATTACAATTTACAATTTAGCTCTACTTTAGTAAACTACTTAGTAAACTAGTATGCTTACTCTAGTATGGTTAATATAATTACAAAAAAAAATAATAAATACTCGAAAAATTGGGCAAGCAAATGTTATATTTCTTCTTGGTCTGCATATGAAGAAAATCCAGAATGATATACTATTCTTTATGCTAGAATTCTAACTTTGTCTGAATTTCAGTCTCATCATGTTGTTTTCTCACACTTAAACCACTTTTGAACTAAAAGCTAGGTCTAAGTGAGAATTTACTATTTTTATCAATTTTTAAAGTAAAAATGTTTAGAACTTTTCTATTGAAAGTCAATATTAAACAATATATTTAGTTCCATTTCATTGTATAGTTGAAATTTTTTAAAAATTTTAAGTCAAAACATGAGTAACAATATTATTGATTAAAAAAAGAAATTAATTTTGATATTTATGCACTGCAATTTGCTTTAGAGCTGTTTGCCTGACATGAAAAATTTGTAGTTTTTAAACTTAAATTTGAAAATTATTTTGAAAAAATATTTTATGAACTTTTAAAGTTTTATTTAAACTTAAAACTTCAGGACCCTTGTTTATAAAAATAAAATTTTAATTAATACTATTTCAAAAAAAAGTATCAAACCCAGTCGGGTGTCTTGAAGTGAAAATTAACATATTTTAAAAATGATATTTGGAAATAGTCCTTGCAAAGCAATAGAAAAAATTCAAAAGACTTTTTTGGATAGAGATATATTTATAATGCTAAAAAAGTTTCACAACTTCCAAAAAAAGCTTTACTATTCAGCATGCTAACAAAAAGTATTTGAGTACTTTTTTAATGCATCCAGCATTTTGCAATTTTTTTCTATACTTCAACATATTTGACAAACTGTGCAAGATTATTTAACAAAACAATTAAAATCAGAAAATACCCACATAAATTAGCCACAGAGAACTATTTTATTTATGAAAAAAAAGATATAATTACTTTAGCTTCATTTCCAGCAATTGTCCATACTTTGATATAACCTGAAGCAGACAAACCAACAACGATGTCATCTAGAATAAGGAAAGGAAATTAAATTTTAAAACTGGACAACAATTAAGCTTTTATCTTCTCTGTTAAGTTTAAGTGGCATACTTACCATGACTTTTCACAGGACGCGTATTGCACTCATCCAATCAGGGTTAACACGTGAGGATAAAGTGAATAGAATATCTAACGTGAGAATATCCATTACAAGAATCTCTGCATAATAACCATTGCAAAACAGCCGCACATCATTCGATTTAGACACATGATAAGACTGAAACACAAAAATTATAATTAGTTAACATAGTATAATAAAGGACTTTAAAATCAATTCGAATAAAATTAACTTTTATAAAAATCACTGATTTGTAGCCCATCTGCACCCAATGTTTTTTTTATCGTCAACCACTTTAGCCGCCTTTTTATGAATGCTTAAATCATATGCAGTAATCTTAATCAAATATTGCAACCTTATTAAACTTGAAGTTCACTTGTATTACAGCCGGTTTTTAACACAAAAAAATTTATTTTATTGACTGCAGATCTATATTAAATGTTATCTCATTTATTTAAAAAATTAGTTAAATTTCCCACTAGTTAAGGTTGGAAAATTCTGGGGAAAGTGGCATTCATACATAGTGGGACACCATTTCTTAGCAATATTCGGAAATACAAAAATAATCACAAAATTTAAAGAGGTGTATAAGTAACAAAAAATTCAATTACATGATTTCTCTTTGTCGCAAGGCATGCAACACCGACCATACGAGCACAGAACGCGTGAGATGCCGACAGTGAAGGGGTTAACCTTTCCTAGTAGAGCAAAACTCCAATTCCACAAAAATTTGTTCAGTGGGGGGGGGGAAGAGAAGATGGTTTAGAAACATTCTTTATCACTAACACCAGATCCATATTAATTTTCCTAACTGATGCCAACAATTTAAATGGAAAGCTAATGCGTTTTACTATATGTATATCAGACAGTAAGCAATAGATTAACAAAACAAAAAATTGATAATGATTGATAAAAAAAAATGAAAAAATGATTGATAAAAAAAATAAATTTTAATAATTTTTGTAATTAAACTTCATATATAGCTTATAATGTCGAAACAAAAGTACTAAAAAATTCAATTTACATCATGTTTGATTAAAAAATAACAAGATATTTTGAAAAATATTTGCAATAGTACAATGAATGAGCAAAAAAATATGTATATCTAAGTTACAATAAGAATCCTTAACCTTCCTCGGCATCACGCCAAAACCATGAACTTTGGCAATAAACAGTTTCGTATTTTTAGTATGGTACTAACAATATTTCATATTTTGTTTCCCATGCGATGCAATGAATGAGCATAATAAAATACTTAGGATATTTTTACGAGAGCAAAATATAATAATTTTAACAAGATATATATAAATTTTTACAGTAGTATATGTAATTATATGACATGTGTAGAAATTGATTTTTTTTTAACCCTTTTGGATGCAAAAGGCCCAGTCTGTGTCGGAAAAAAATGCATATTACTAGCCGCTAGCAATTTAAAACTATTTATAGAAATAACAACTAGAAACTAAATGTACCTAAAACTAATGGTCCACAATATTTAACAACTATTTTTCAAATAACATAAACCTCAAGTAATAAATCTGCCTACTATGTATGGTGACAGTTGCTAATATAGTTAATCTTCATCTAACATTTCTTGTGTTGAGAAACACTATGTGTTTGCAATTCTTATTTTACCCTGATTGCAAACACAGCAAGCTTATAGTAATAATCCATAGGCTCATGTAGTTGGCTCACAGTGGGTCGCAGCTTTCAAGTCCGTTATTACATTGCCAGCGTGAGAAGAGCTGAGCAGCTGTAACTTTTTCTTACTGTATTAAAAAAATTATAATTTGGAGAAAAGACTATAGAGAAAGTACGTTTATTTTCTTAAAATTCAATGGTAATATAAGGTTGACTATGGGGGAAATAATAGTAAATAGATGGGTTAATCATGCAAGCTAAATTGTTAAATATCCCTTTAAAATTAAGATACAGCTTCCTAAATAAAAATTTCATTTTGGTAACAATAGTTTGTATTAAAATCTTATCAGTAAATGCTTAAAAAAATATTTTTTAATAACTTTTGCATTGAAACATGAAGCACAAAATTTTAACACCGAATAAATATAAAAACTTAATTACACTGTAAATATAATTCATGCATCAATCACTAATTTTCAACAATATTATCATCTAAACATCACAATTTGAAGCAACATGACATTTCACAAACCCTTTCGTATAAACTGGTCAACTAGAAAACTATAAAAGTAATTATTGTCATTTATGCACCTTTTAAAAAATTTTACAATGACATTTGAATTTCCATTTTGCTCAACACATAGAAAATTTGACACATCATGTCTATAGGAACAGTACGAATATTTCCTGTTTCTGAAAGGGTTTATTTTCTTTACATTAATCATTTATTTCAAGTTGATCGAATAATACCCTTGAAAAGTTTACTTAACCTTATATAACTAAACATTTGTCTAATAGACTATCAACTCATGCCAATTTTGAGAATTACTGTTGATATTGTGATTACCCTAGTTTACTCACAATACCTTCATAATTAGTAAAATTAGTAAGCCAAAAGTGATAAAAAGAGCTGTACATTTGCTACGTTTTGAAATTTACAATAATCATGGTCTAACAGTCAAATGTTTAGTCCATCAAAATCAACATTAAAGATATTTTGAATACTGAAAAGCCCACAGATTACACAACTAAAAGTGCTGCAAACAAACACAGAATTTTCTTTCCATCTAAGAAATGCATAATGGCAAAATATGTAAGCAAATACTGAAGGAAGGCTATTAGAGAATAGCACACTTTTAACATTTCCCATGAGTGCAAATGATAATTTTAATAATATTTTAATTTTTAACTGAAATAATATAATACTTTTTTTTACGTTATGCTAATTATCAGAATCAGAAGCATGGTATGCTTACTGCAGGTATTGTCCTGCTCTAGCTCTATGAAATCACTCACTCACATATAATGAATTCCAGAAAAAATCTGTCATGCGCTGACTCCATTTCCAGCTAGCACACTTCGATCATACTGGACTACAAAAAGTTACCTACCATTCCTATTAAATGTTACAATTCTAGTGATATTTAAGTTGAGAAGTAACTGAAATATTGGTATATATTTTGCAATATATCTTTTCAGGTAATAAAATTTGTCTCTTTTAATGTGCTGTGGGTGACTTGATTTCCAGATAACCTTTGTATCCTGATCTTATTAGAACCATTTAAAGACTTTGCATATTACACTATTTCATTATTCGCATATATATACATATAATGTATACATGTAATGTATGCATATATTATTTTTCTCATTATGGCAAAACATTTGACAAATTGCTTTTGAATTTCACTTCATCTCTTTTACATACATTGATGAACTGGAAGCAAATATTTTATGGCATTCAACAACAAAATAAATTATTATTTAAGGTATGAACAAATTTTAAATTAATAACATATGTGTTAGAGCTGATTATTTATAATTATTCAACCCTTTCAAAAACTATTAATATGCTATAATAAATGAATTTTGTATTTTTTTTTTCATCATATTTTCTTAAAATATTAAGGTTTTATTAGAAACAATACTTTAAAGTACGTTCAGAAAAAATTAAGAATAAGAAAGATTATTTTAATAAAAAGTATTTCAAAATATTTAACACAATGAAAATTCTTAAAACATATCATCAAGCTACAAATTTAAATATTTCAGAACATCACGAGTTGGATTCAGTAATGTTAACAGTATCATTACACGGAACTCCCTCAGTGATGGATTCTACTTCATCTGCTACGTCCATCCAAATAATTAGAATTTATGCACCTTTTAAAAAATTTTGCAATAGCATTTGAATTTCCATTTTGCTCAACACATAAAAAATTTGACACATCATGTCTATAGGAACAGTACGAATATTTCCTGTTTCTGAAAGGGTTTATTTTCTTTACATTAATCATTTATTTCAAGTTGATCGAATAATACCCTTGAAAGGTTTACTTAACCTTATATAACTAAACATTTGTCTAATAGACTATCAACTCATGCCAATTTTGAGATTTCCTGTTGATATTGTGATTACCCTAGTTTACTCACAGTACCTTCATAATTAGTAAGTCAAAGGTGATAAAAAGAGCTGCACATTTGCTACGTTTTGAAATTTACAATAATCATGGTCTAACAGTCAAATGTTTAGTCCATCAAAATCAACAAAGATATTTTGAATACTGAAAAGCCCACAGATTACACAACTAAAAGTGCTGCAAACAAACACAGAATTTTTCTTTCCATCTAAGAAATGCAGAATGGCAAAATATGTAAGCAAATACTGAAAGAAGGCTATTAGAGAATAGCACACTTTTAACATTTCCCATGAGTACAAATGATAATTTTAATAATATTTCAATTTTTAATTGAAATAATATAATACTTTTTCTTACGTTTTGCTAATTAGCTTGAAATAAATAAAGTATGCCTTTTTAATTCGTAGTTTATTAGTCGAATGATTGGTTACAGATTAACACTGATTTAAGTTCAGTTATCTAAGGTTAATGATGCCTCATAGCATTTATTTGAGGACAATTGTATCATATCCAGAAACATCAATGTGAAATATTTTTAATTTGCAAAATTTTGCAGTTTTATTAAGTTTTGTATGCTTTTTCCTTCTTTAATTTTAAAAATGTTTAATTTTGGTTTTTTGAGTAGTCCACTTATACGCCCAGCATACCAAATATTAGCTATTTCCTAATCAAAAATAACAGATCGACTTACACACCAGAATATGTGGGCATAATAATCACTTGGAAAGATCTATACAGCAATATTTGAGCTACTTCTAACAAAGGAACACTGGTCATACTGTACGATATGTTTTTGTATTCCAGTATCATGGAAAATCTGTAGTCTGGAACTAGAACTGAAGTGCCATGCCTGAAATCAAGCAAATACTTGATGCATTGGTAACATAAAAGACCTCTATGCCAAATGAAATTCAGGTAAACAGTATCCACACTAAAATTAAGGTCACCTAGGACAGGAAAGGCATTCTGTTTGTTGACTTCTTGTTGAGGGTGCTGTGGTGAATGCTGAAAGTTATAGAGTAACCCTTGAAAACTTATGAGAAGCAATTCAGAATCAGAAGCATGGTATGCTTACTGCTGGTATTGTCCTGCTCTAGCTCTATGAAATCACTCACTCACATATAATGAATTCCAGAAAAAATCTGTCATGCGCTGACT